AATTGCGATTGAAGCAAACAGTAAAGAGGTGGGTTGTAAAAGCAAAACAATGAAAGAAGCTTTTACAGCTCCGTACAGCTGTAGGAAACTGCAGAGTTTGTCACATTTTACATTACACACAGTCATTTAATCTACTGTCAATTTAAAAATATTGATTAGTGCAGCATTGACTATTTTATATCTATATATGGTGAGTAGATTCACACACTGGGGCACTGTAATGGGTCAAACTAATGTTTTACCACTAATCTCATTTTAGTATGTGCCCTCTGCTGCTCTTCATACTGAAAAATGAGCACAATTTATTGAGTGGAGTTTTACAATGAGCACAGAGGAGTTGCGGGTCAAACCCTCAAGCATGAGTGAATGCCTGGCAGTAATCTGGGGTCTGGGGAGAGCTGTTACTGTCCAAAACCAGGAGGAGGCCACGTGGAAAGGCCAGGACAGGACTAGGCTGCGACAGTCACAGCGACTAAGAGAGGAAGGTTAGCCGGCTGGAAGGAGTACAAGGAACAGGCTGAAATAATCAGGCCACAATGACAAATGAGCCCAGGGAGGCAGGGAGGAGGGAGGGAAATAGAGGGACGGCGGAAGAGGAGAACAGTTTTGGGGAAAAAAGCGAGAGAGAAACAAGAGCTTGTGATTCTGTTGGCTCGAGTTGGTTTGCAAAGTTTCAATGGCCTACATAAAGTTGGTGATAGAGATGTGCTGGCTGGCTGACTTGGCTGCATGACTCAATCACAAGACTCTTGCATGCTCCTCTGAGGGTTCCTGCAACAATGGTGCGAGTGAACGTTGCCTCTCCTCCCAGCTGCCTTCAACCAGTCGCCTTAAGATACAACACCTCCACTGGCCTGCTTTCACAAGGTGCACTTTCCATGACCTACAAAAAGTTCTTTTTTAAAAGTAGTGTGTGTGTGTAGGGCAGTTTTAGTAAAACACCAAGTCCTTTAAGGCTGCAATTCCAGGGCAAAATAATCTGTGGATTCATAATGCTGTATTAAAGAAACAGGATCCTGTACGTTTGGAAATCATCCCAAATTTCGTGTTTTATGAGGATCATTTGAGCCCCCTCACAGGGCTTGTTATAACTGCTGACTGGGGGAAGAGAGGCTAATTTGTTTCACAGTCTCCCAAGGCCTTGTTCCATCCAGGCCTTAAATCAATATTCCTAATGGAGGCTGAACAAGGCCCATCCATCCTCACCACTCCTCTTGCTCACTTTCTGATTCTGATGAAGGCATGGACAGTAAGAGGAAAGCACCACATACCGCTCTCCCAGATGACTCACCCATTTTGGTTTTGAAACCTTTAAAATCCGATCCCAAGGGACTGTTTTTAAAACTCTTTGACGACAGTAGCTACGACAACCCTAGCTACCCTCGCTGCTCTGTCTTCGACAGCACTGTGGCAGCGTCCATTTGGTCATGATTCACTGCTACGTCTCTGGGCCCCCCAGGGAGAACGGGTGATGTTTTTTGAGAGTGATCTGTTGTGATGTAACGCTTGAGGCGAAACCTTGCTTTCATAATGAAGTACTATACTCCACAGACCAGGGGATCAAATTCATTGCTACGCCCTAATGCTGGTTCTTCTGTGCTTCTGGGTGAGGAGAGCTGACCCCTGCACTTTGAGGTTTCAAACATATGCGAGGGAAAGACGAAGTTAGCGTCTTCTCATGTGTCACAAATCCTTACAAGGATTTGTGTGGATTTGGTGTGTGCAGCAGATGATAGTTAATTTTTCCTCCTCCAAGGTAATCCATTCAGTGTACCCTCGACTCCTACACATCATATCTGTGCAGCGAGGGAATGGTCGCAGCAATTACTGTGGGCTGCAAACTTGACATCCGCCCAGCTTAAGGCAGCCTTTACCGAGCTGATGGGATTCAGTGTGGGCTTTCACAAGGTTGCTTCCTAATGAATTTCCTCTGAAGCTACGGACGGAGCTGTTCAAAAGCACAGCAGAACTCAGGATGTCTCAATGAGAGCAAAACCCCGCTTCGAGACAGAAAGTGCGTCTGTGTGTAGGTACGAGCTGCAGGAAAACCTTACAAATCCTCTTAGTCTGCACATCTCTTTTTACAAAACAAATCAATGCCAAATACTTTCTTAACACTGTCTCGTGCACCACTCCTCTATTCTTCTCTTCTGATTTCAAGAATCATTACGTCCTCTGACAGCTGTTTGGTGTGTTTTGCCGCATTCTTTCTGACTCGCTGGTTGTCTCCTTGTCTTCCTCCTGGCACTGTATCAATAAAAACACTCCTATAAAGCTTTATCAAAGCTGCTGTTTCTCTTTTTTAAATTTATTTTGAGAATAGGCAGTTCCCAAAAAACCCAAGCTGGTCTATTGCACATCCATTATTAATGTACTGAAATGCCCAAATGTCACGCACAAGATATCGTAATGCTCTATTTGAAAATCCTATGGATACTGGCAACTGTCTGATCTACAGGGAATTGGTTAAACAGCATACCCACGCAGTGAACCAATTAGGTTCCTAGTATTTATACAGTAAAGGCAAACAATGGGAAGATGAAGCAGAGTTCTCATCAGTCCTGTCTCATTACTTTGCTGGTTGAGATGCTGTCTCAAGCAGCAGCAAAATGAAGGACACAGTTCATGAGCTGCATTCAGGTGCAACACATAACAATGCTGTCGCGCACAGATACTCACAAAGTGTCTTTGTAAACTGGGGCAGAAATAACAAACGTACCATAGACACAAGCTATAAATTGATTTCCTTTTAGCTCACTGTGTTCTCCTCTCTCCAGCTTAAAGAGAGAATGCAAAACTTTCCTTGAATTATAAATTTTTCTGCACATAGAAAGCTCAGCACAGGAAGGCTTTAGTCTCTGCAGATGATCTTTGGAGCAGTCCTGTATGATTCCATTTAGTGGATGAGGATGGAACCAATCCAAACTGTATTTTCAGTCAGATTCTGACTGTAATTTTGCACAAAGAGAGTACCAAAAATGGTAACCTCATTGTGCAAACTGTCACTCTCTCTGGTGGATTTGCATGGGACCAGTCTGGTGGTACTTACATTACAAAACACAGACACAGCTGCCCAAGTTCAGGGTCTGTACGTGCTAAACCAGTGGACTCGTATAGTAACAGCTGCATGCAGACACTATCACACAGTTGTTTTAACGTTGCATCTCTCTTGTCACACAATCTGATGGCAATGGCGACAGCCTGTTGAGGATGTGCCTTTGCTTTCTGCAACCTGTCACTATGATGCTTTATTTGTCATGCAGATTTGACAGCTTCCCTATGCTTTTCAAGAGGGCCAGCCAAATACAAGCAGGCAGAGCATGATGAGGGAAGGGGACACTTACATCTTAAGGCCCTTAACTTCTACAGCGATAACTTCAGCAAAAAATATAAACCACTGAGGTACACTGAAAATTTCTATCATACAATGCATCATGATCATCTTTCCTTCTTTAAAGGACCAGTGTGTAGGATTCTAGCGGTGAAGTTGCAGATTGCAACTAACTGAACACCACTTGAGTCTGTATTTGATGATCTGGGAATGAGAGCAGGCTGTGACGTGTAAGAGAAAATACTATGGTTGTGAAACTTGAACATCTTAATCCTCTGCACAGACAGGGAATCTATGGAAAGTGTATGGTCTAAGACAGTATGAGGTAAAGGCTTGTGTGTTTCACATTCAGGCTTTTTCCTTCAAGTTGAAGTTGGATATTGCAAAGTCAATACTTTTAGAGAAGCTGAGAGCTGCACAGGATTTTCCCAATGTCCTGGACATCATTGTAAAAGTAGCGTTACATAGAAAGTAAAGGGACAAGTAGAACATTTTACATTTCTCCGGACTGGTTGCATTCAAAAACACGCATTCTGTAGCGAGACGCCACCGCAGTAAAGACGACTTGTTTACTTCCAGTACTTTTGTGTATATGCTCCCAGTGAGACCGACAGGCCACTTCTGAAGCGTCTCTGCGAAGCCGGCTTAGAATAGCAGAGATAGAAGGTGTTAAGTGTGAAAACTTCTCATTCCCACGTAGGACGCTATGATGCAGTTTAGCATTTTTGTCACTAATGGGCATTTGAAATAGCGCTGGATGCAGAGTATGAGAGAGAGAGAGCAGAGCAGCACATGGAAAACTAGAACACAGAAGGCTCTGGCAGCCATTCACTCCTGCAGGGAATTATACTATAAAAAATACACAGGCCTACTACTGTACGCTCATTAAAAGGCCCTCAGTTTGTTCTAGCAGAGTGGCTTCTTTAGCAGGCAAAAATATCCTGTAGATTAAACTTAAATCATTCACAACCTGGTTAGGGAATGAGCCCAGGACACGACTTTGTCCTGGTTCATCTACTCACTATCTACACATAATCAATCCTTCATGGACCGTGTGAATAACAAAGTATTCTGGCGGCGATTGCTCAGCAGATAGGCACGTGCAATATCATTCTACCAATTACAGAGGAGTAAAGTGCTTTGTGTAATATGCCGTGAATGCCGTGCCAGGTCCCCAATTACATTTAGAAATGTGTCCCACTCGGAGATGAGCGTTGAATAATGAAAGCAGCCTCCATTCACCCACATATCAGACTCAGGGGAAGAGTAAGGTCATTTCAAACCGCAGTAATTATCAAATGTGTGCTTCATGGGCTCAGAGTCAAAATTAATATCCCAAAATATCTCCGCTCTGTTAATTGTTTCTTAAGTTAACAGTGTTTGTTAGTGGAGGAACATTTGTTTCGAGCCTTAATAAAACGAACAAAACTTTTCCTTTTTTTTTCCCCACTAAGTGCCAAATGCAGAAAGTAAAGTGCATGCAACACCAGGAACACAATATTCACAAAGAGTACATCTATTTTAGGGCTGCAACAGATTTCAGAGTGAGCATGCACTTGTCTGTTGAGAATCTCTTAGGGAAATATACAAAATGCACAGACAGACAGAGCAGGCGACCGACACAGGCAGCGCAGACCACATTGAAAGTGTAAAAACATAGGATAGTCACCAGAGATTTACTAAAAAAACATGTTCAATTTCCTGTAGGATCTCAAGCTCTCTAAAGACGTTTCGGACCTCATCTCTCTCTATGCACTGCTGTTTGTTCATGTACTTCATGGCGTACATCTTCTCGGTGTCCCTCTTTTGCACAATGCATACCTGCAGCAAGCAAAGGGAGTGAAGAAGAGGGGGAGGGAAAGAAAATGGGAAAAAAGACAAAATGAAGGACATTAGTATGAGATAAACATATAGTTACAGTTTATGTACAAAATCTGTGTGTGAATTTACAAAACAACAAACATGGATAAATGAACACTCAGATCTCATTGCAAAATAGTTTTGGCAGGGAGAGACAATTACATCACTCTGAAGGTGTCGCAGCCAAGTTCCAGCTCCACAAATGCGGCCACGCTGCTCTGCAAATTGAATATGTTTTCAAAATAGCCCACAGCATCTTTCAGCTGTTGATTAATGCGACCGTTGAGATGGATACCGTACACCACGATGCATAAAATGCTGACACGCTGAGTATCCTCTAATGAACTTCGTTTCCAAACGCAGAAGTTTGTGGCGGAAACCACTTCCAAACCAATCACCTCATTATTTATTCATCACGAGTTCTGCGGTTTTGTCAGGAAGTGGCTGTGAAAGGTCAGGGGCGGCAGGACGGGACTCCAGGGAGGTCAGAGTCATTACAGTAACATTACTGTCCAACCGCAGTCATTACACAGATCATGTGTCCTGCCTTGCAGACAAATAAGGAATTCAATTCTTAGAGGTTTTTTTGTCTGTCTGTGACTCATTCTGATACTCCTGTGTGCTACCTTAAAGGACCAGTGTGTAGTTGCAGATTTCACTGGCTTTACCCTACCTAGGAGAAAACACGAAAGGCCTTCTCTAGAGCTTTTGGTTTGTCTGTTTTGGGCTACTGTAGAAACATTGCGGTTCTATGTGGACTCCATGGCACCTGTAGATAAAAACTGCTGATTCTAAGGTAACAGAAACACAACAATTCTTATTTTCAGGTGATTATAATTTAATGAAAACATACCTATGAACATAATATTTCATTTCTGACAATAGATCCTCCTAAATGTTACACACTGGACCTTTAAAACCAGATCATTTTGTGTTTTTAATCACTGGATGATAACATAAAATGTATTGTTGACTGATATGGGATTTAATATTTAGAGAGCAGAGCTGATATATAATGCCGATAGCAAAACAAAGAAAAGTCATGTTTAATTCCATTAATCCAAACACATTATAATCTAATATACATGGTTATCTCATGGTTATCTAACACATTGTTTTAGATGGAATTTCAATTCATTATGAAATAGAAGCTGGTCTTTAAGGGAGAGTGGAGGATAATACATCAGAAGCAACATCATTGAACTGCATTAATCTATACATTATAACATAATATATATTCAGCACTAGCCAGTAATGGTTTTAGATTGAATGTAATTTAGGACAGGAAATACTTCTTAACATAATATAATATTATAATTATAATATCAAGAGTCTGGCAATACAGGGGTTACGATTCAATATACTGCGATACTGTAAGCATGGCGACATATTGGGATTTATTTTAATCTAATTTTAGGAAAACTGTCCACAGTGTGCAGAAAATGTAAGCAAAAAGTCGCTTTAACATCCAACATCAGCAGCTAAAGTCGATACAGTGTTTTTGAGAATCGATACAGTATCACAAAATATTGCGATACGATACTTTTCAATATTTTCCTACACCCCTATAATATATTATAATGAGTGATATAATCAGAGCCAAAATGTGTCCGTGTGCATTTGACCCATCCTATACATTAAGGAGAGCAGCCTGGGGTTCAGTGTCTTGCTCAAAGACACAAATGGACAGGGGAAGCTGGGGAATCGAACCCCCAACCCTGCAGTTAGTGGCAAACATATACAGCAGGATGTACGAGAGTAGAGGGGCTCCAAACTAACCTTCTAACCACCTTCCCTAAACTGACACAAGGAGGATTTGTCTATCTATAGTGAAATGATAATTGGATTGGGCTCTTCATATAAAACTCCTATACATTGGGAGAGTTACTGGAGCTACAAAGGGATTTCTTTATACCCAGTATGGAGAGGAGGAATGTACGCAGCAACCAATAACTTTCTCTCACCATTCAGTGAATATGGCATGTGTGCATTGTATTAAAATAGACTATCCTTTAATGTGGCTTTACAGCAGTCTCCAAAGGGTGGTAAGATCTAATTTGCATGACTGTTTAGCAGGGATGCCACCAACGCTCAACACTGTCAGTAAAATGCTTAAGTGGGCCAGAGGGAAAACACGCATTTACAGTAGCTTCAAATGCAAAATGACAAACAAGATGCAGAAACGTGCTGTTAATCCTTTACTTTTTTCAACTTGGTTTCCTCAATATCATGTAAACAAGAAGCCTGGTTTCCCTAACTGGGGAAAGGGATTACCATTAAATTGGTTAACTCAACTATGTTTATATCTATCTGGATTTTGAAGACTGCGTGTCCATGACAAAGACCTGAGACAGAAAGAGTGTGGTGGCAGTGCTGCAGGAAACATCCTTACTCAGCCTTGTAATACACTTAAAATATTCCAGCCTCGCCTTAGAGCTACGGCAGGGGGTCGAGGTGGAATCTAATTACCGGCCACCTGCATGTTAACGCTTTCTCTGATTTTCCGCCTTAACTTTATGTCTCCCAATAACCTGGCTCCTTGTGTGCATGTAAACACAGCGGATGTGAAAAACCCCCCCCCCCAATACCCTGGGTGTAGCACCAGACCATCCTGTGAAGCATTAAAGGCTAAACGGCCCCCTGCTATTTCTGTTATAGACAGAAGGCCTTAGCTGGACTGAATTGTCCACCAAGGCACAGGTCTCCTTCATTACAGTCTCAACCACACAGATGGCTGTTTTACACAGCACTCTGGCCCTGATGCACTGCAAAAAAAACACCCATCTCGGCTACTCATTTTCTCATTTGTTCGGTCTTTAGGTCACAGAAAAAGGAGAAAGTTGTCTGCTATATTCAAATGCATCACAAACAAATGGGAAAATGCTCTGGGGACATAGATTATCTACTGCACGAGTGGATTTTTTCACTGGGGGAACAAAGATTGTTAAGACTGAACACCAAAGTAAATGAGGTGTTAAAATAGACATTTTCCATGTGGTGACAGGAGGAAATCTATTACTGTGTAAAACATCATCTATTTAATTGTGCTCGTGGATCCCCCACTAGCACAGAGCTCGAGCGAGTGCCAGGGCTGAGTCGGCTCTCTCCTCTTTCCTCCGTCTGGATCTCCTCCAAGCCCAGATTCCCCCTACTTCTGTCACTTTCATTAACTCATTGCAGCTGAAATTCATCAAACCGGTTCCTCCTCCTTTGTAAAGTAAGGGATTATACTGAAGAGGAGAGTTTCTATGCAGTTTACGGTGATATCTGCAGATTTACTGCTCTAAAAGTGATAATTAGTCATTTTCAAAACAATGATTAGACAAACCAAACCAAATAGAATTTCTTGCCAGCGGCCGTCGATTTTACCAGAGGAAATAGCAACAGTGCTTAGAAGATTTTATCAGCTGTATCTAACTAGCTAATTAAGCAAACGTTAGCTCTGTGAGTTGGTTGAAAATGTTTCAGTTGGTTCGGAAACTAGGTGTCTTATATTCCTGATAAACACTAAAATATGTTTCTAAAATGATTTGAGGAGAGAAATAGTCAACGCAGTAACATAATCTGGATCCATATCTGATCAGCACTGCCTAGTTTGACACTTTGATCTGAGTTTGGTGCGTTGAGTTGGACAGACTCACTGAGAATGAGCTGTAAATAGACTGAATGGTATCTGTTTTTATTGCAACCAATTGAGTTGCCCCCTGCTGGCCGTTAGAAAGAATGCAGTTTTAAGACACTTCCATTGTGGCTTTGATTGCTTTGACCAGTGGTCAAAAAGTAAAGAGACAGCAGCGTTCTTATGTAAGTGTAGTTAGACTGAGTATGTATGACAAACAAAATACTGTATTTTCCAGCACACATAACGTTATCTTATGTGACATTGCTGTAGCTGGCCTGTAAACCAAAATCCAATGAAGCTAGCTGTAAACTTACAAATTAATGTAGTTAATTAATGACTTTGGATACTGTAGTTGGTAAGCTAGTTACCCAGACATGCTATTGATTGCAGCTTATACTAGCAGATAAACACTTTGTTTAATCCATTCCTTACTGCACTCGCTAAGTTATAATTAGACATTTATGAACAGTCATTATATTCTCGTGTAATATTTTAATCAGATTTCATCTAAATATCAGTAAATCTGTTGAGGTTTTGTTACACATATTCCAGCTATTATCAGTCAGTGCAGACGTTTAATGTCTGATGGTTTAAATACTGATCCACAGGCCTTCTTTTATCCTTATAAATAAAAGATACGATCCTGAGGGGGAAAGCCAAATGTTTTTCAATTTAAAAATGCCGAATATCAGCAGAAAATATTGCTCATTGCCAGTTTAAATCTTAAAATCCTGCTATTGGATTTCAAGTCTCCCTATCAGTTCAGCCAAACCTCATACCTCCTTTTTAGACTTTTTTTTTTAGCCCTCAGCATGATAACACGCGGCTCCAGGCCCTCCCTTTTTCCATCTCCCTCGCTGAGCTTAACACAGACCCAGTTTCTCTTTGCTCTTAGCCAGGCCAGTCTGTACCATCTGCACTGTGCTAGAAGGTAGACTAAAAAAATTCTGTCAAATGCCGCAAACAAGGATCCGAGAGGTCGGCCAAATATTTTCATCCTCCTTTCACTGCTGAGACAAATAAGCATCTTTCCCACATGCACTTTAACCCATTTATGTTCAAGCTTTTTTCAATGTCTGCATCATCTGGGAACAAGAAACTGAGTCAATTTTTAGAGACACTCTGGCATTTCACTGGCTCAAGACTTATTTAGGAAATCTCCTTTATGGCTCTGTTGGGAGCAAAAGTTAAAAGTATTATCTAACAGAGCATGCCAAAGTCTCTACCAGACAACCAGCGAGCCAATCATAAGAGGCCTTGAACAAGTGTGAAACTGTCACGATGTGTGGGAACTAACTTTCCTATATGAGACCTACCAGTGACAGATGAAAACCACAAA